GACCTTTTGGCTCGAGCTGAAGTCCAGACATGACAGGTGGATATGTCACCTCCTCAATAACAGGTTGTTCTGTTTCCCCTGCTGATCTTCCTCCTCCAGTTCCTCCCCTGCTGCCCTGCACTCGTAAGGTCAGTGCACATGATTACCACTGAAACTGCCCCATGCTTACCATGATCAGTGGCCACTCTTCAGCCACAGTATGAGCTACATCTGGCATCCTACAACACTAAGTCACTGCTACACTTTGTTAGTCCCGATAAAGTTGATCTTCTGAAGTCCTTACAGTCTCATTACAGCTTTATGCAATGTGACTGTAAGCATGTTGGCAGTGTTGTGCACTCCCACTGTTTTGTTGGGGCATCTGTTCAGAGGGGGTGAGATCTCGGGGGATGGCCTCTGCAGGTGTTACGCCCCCCAAGCTTCTCACTCATAGGTGATAAAAATGTGAATGAGAAAATTTTTCATACAGAGCACAAAATATCAGAGTTCGGGCAACCACACTTTCATGCTCACAACAGCAGGTTTCACTCCTCTTCCTCCTCTCTTCCTTCTTAAAGCTTGTCATATCTGCCATGTGTGTATTTCCAGTTATTTTACATGCATGTTTTTAAGTGGTGTTCGTGCTTTCTGTGCTACAGAGGAAATTAAATTGTGTGTGTGTGCTACCTGGTGTGCATGTGAGGAACTTGTAGGCCATGTGAGCCAGTGGTAGGATGGGGATCATACAGTTGTCGCCATTGGTTTCAATGAAGTCGTGGCGAGTGATGGCGGTTGGATCGATGTGGTGCTCCCTGAATGGACGGATAAATGCCTGCAGAGAGAGAGAGAGAGAGAGAGAGAAAGGAATTATAGCTGCAAAATAATGTCTAACTCATATTCTTATGTGAAATACTTAAATCTTGAATCAATCATGAGACCAGAGCTGTTTAACTACTGAAACAACATCTAATCAGCAACAGTGACGATAGACAGGTTTATTCTGAAATCATTTTACAGGTGTAAAAGAGGAATGTCTTATACCTAGGCTTGGGGAGTAGTGGATTACATGTAACTGAGTTACGGAATCAGGATACAAAAAGAAATTGCAATTTTAAAAGATTACAGTTAGATTTAGTAAAAATTGGGATTATTAGCAGGATTTCATTTTTAAAATACCTCAATATTTCTTTTAAAAAATACCCTGAGAAGAGACACATTTTTTATGGTAAAAGCAAAATGCAAATGCTTTGTTTCCATCTTTTTCTTAAAGTTTGCATTGTTGTGTCATCAATACTTTTACTTTTACTTTTACTATTTTTTCTTTTGCCTTTATTTGCATATTTGGTGTTGAAGTAACGGAAAGTAATCCAGCTGTGTTACTTTAATGTTGTGATACTTGGATTAAGACTACAATTTTTAACAGGTAATTAGTATCAGATTAAAATTAACTTTAAAAAGTAACGCACCCAACCCTGCTTATACCTGGTTGAAATGACTAAAATCAACCATAAAAACAATTTAAACCTGAAGACCAGATACAATAATTTAGGAAAATTCTGTTTCTGTCCTTTCAGTTAAACATACACACATCCAGTTTTCACTAAATGGAACAAAAACATGGAAAATGTTCTACTTAATTTACATTCACTTTAAATCGGAACACAAAACAGACACTGGAAAGCATTGTTTACAGTCTTTACACAAATGCAGATCAAATGCACACACACTCACACTCACAGACACGCACACACACCACGACTCAGCGGTGTCGAGCATCATGCGCAACCCCAAAGCTCATATCCAGCATCCTAATAAACCACAGAACAGCAGTTGGCTTGCGGAAACACACTCATAAGCATAAATGACCCATGGATGCCCCACACAAACTCAAAAATGGGAGCTTCAAAAACACACACACACACACGCTTGCAAACCCCACCTGCACTGTGCAGAGGCAGACACCTGTCTGTGAGAGCATGGGGGTCTCAAATGAAAGACTGAATCTGAATCTCAGAAGCACAAAAGAGGACAAAAAGAAACACAGACACACACGCACACACGCACACAGGATAAAGGTAATTTATTTCCCTCTGTGGAAAAAGCAAAAAAAGGAAGGTTTGCATCTGTATTTCCACAGTGTGCATCCCTGCATGTGTGTGTGTGTGAGTGTGTGCAGCCATGGAAGCATCAGCATGAAAACTCATTATTGTCGTGTTAGCTGCTCTAACCAATCACACACGCCTATCAGCGAACAGTGTTGGTAGGTGCCACTGCAAACACAGAAACTATCTGTTGATATCTGCACAATTATGTACCCATCTCTGCTCTCGCCTGCCTCTCCCCCACCTCTCCTCTCCCGTCACCCCCCTCCTGTCGCCGCAGCCCTCAGCCAGATGAAAGACCGGCTAAGCTGCGGAGGTCGTGCCGAGCAGGGCGGCATCAGCGCTCCCAGTTAACGGTGCACCACCGGTCCCTACGTGTCCTCTAATCCCACACCGTTTAACGGCCCACCTCGCACGACGTCCATTAATCACCAGCTCACATCGGCCATCGCCCCAGCAACCAACGCTGTCCCACTGCTTGAACGGACACGCCCTCACACCCCCTTATTTTTTTTGTCCTCCCGACCTTTATACTGTATTTTCATCTCACTTTCTGTTGGTTTCTCTTTTCCCTCTCTTTCTCTCTCTCTTTTGCCAAAAAATTCTATCTATGCTTTCTTCTTACTATCACTCCCCTTTTCCCCTTCTGGCCTTTAAGTAGAAAGTCATTCAATTAACTCTACTTCGATGCTCAGCCTCACTAGAGAGTCGCCTTAAAAGAGACATGTTTGTTAGAGATGTAAGAAAAAAGAAAGAGGGAAATTGACATAAGGAGAAACGTATTGATGCCACTAAAAGATTGCAGAACAGAAGCAGTAAAACAAGAAGCATCTTCAAACATATATCCCTAAACTGTAAGCACATCTGGCAAATTTCAATGTGAATCGAGCATCATTGGGAACTAATGAGCGTGACTTTGTCCTCAAAGTGGCGTCATTAGAGGACTGTTAAATCCTTGTTGAGTCAATTAAAGCTCAACGACATGATGACGACAAAAAAACAGCATGGCCCAAAGCCTCACCAAGGAATTCTAAACACTGCTGGGAGAACGTAGAGCACTTTTTGAGAAAGTGTTGCAGTTTAAGTACTGGGGAGTGAAACGGCTTTTAAGGATTCAAATCAAAGCAAATCACTGTTGTACAATTTCCAAAGAAGAGCATTAGCAGAGAGCAGCATGGGAGAATTTTACATGCAACTTTCAGGTAGAGCAACATTACCTTGCAATTAAAGGATGTGTGGTGACACATAAGGCAGTTTATGAATATTATGATCAGAATCAGAAATACTTTAATAATCCCAGGGGAAAATACTGTGATTGTGTTTTCACAATGTGCTCTCTTATAACAAACTGGATTGTCATTTAGACTTTACAGAGAGTACGGTGTACAAGGTAGTAAGAAGTACAGCCTTAGTACAGAAAAATGCATTATTTTGATAATCATTTAATTTACATTTTCCAGTTCAAGTTTCTCAGGTGAGATTTTTTTTGCTGCTTTTCTTTGTCATATATAAATGTAAACTTAACGTCTGAGTGTTGGACTTTGACATGTGAACTTGGGCTCGGGGAAGGCTGAGATGGGCATTTTTTCACAATTTTTTGTTGTCTCATTGACTAAACAATTGAAAAAATAATCAGCATTTTCATCAATAACAAAAATAATCATTTGTTGCAGCAGGCATGGTGAATATGCTATAATTGTTTCAGATTTTCAATGAACTTCAGAAGCGACAGGCAATACAAGCAATGTCTGATATTTTGTCTAAATAGAAGGTTTCCATTTACTACCTTTATGCAAATATATTCCAGAGAACATGAGAAGATTATATAATTAACAGAGAATACGTAACTCTAATACATCATAGAATTTATCTGCTGCTTCCAAGTTAATGTGGTATTTATGGGCTTTTTTAAATTGGTGTTTTTATCAGGCGCTACAGTGATACAGAGCAGGGTGTCATCCGTCTAGAATCAAACCAGGGATGTTAAGATTCCTCTGACACAATATATTGATGTTCATTTTGGGGGCTTTTATTGATGAAGTAGAGGTAAATATAATATTGAGTGGCAGCATGAATACTGCAAAAGAAATATGTCAACATCAAGCTGTATTTGAACTTTGTTTGCCTTTATTAGATAGCAACTGGCAAAAATCAAACCTAGGAGGTGCTGGTTACATTACATGTGTCTTCAACCTTGACAGAGCTTAAAAGACAACTGTTATGTTTTTTGCAATATTGCGTTTGGTTTTTCCATGACCTATTATTCCATTAACATGTTTTATGTGTAAATCAAAAATGTTCTTAAAATCTGAAGATATTAATTGTCCTTTCTGTGACCTTGACAGCAAAAATGTTCGCTCAGATTCTGCAGACCATACTGACCATACTGAGCCAATGACTTTGACAGATAGAAAATGCAGTTTCCATTGGCAGCTGTTACTGCTCCATGGCCTTCACTGCTGGAAATATTATTTATGATACTATGACAGCAGACTCTTATGACTGTTAGGTATCCCCTTGTGACTACCGTATGGCAGGAGTCCATATGTGCAGTGTCTGCATTAATGCTTCTACATGGTGTCTGCAGGACAACCTGAGCGACGTCTTTAAGGAGGTCTTTAAATATAACAAGTACAAACACATACACAGCACATGCATACACAAACGACATAAAACAAGAAAAGGACAGAACAAACAAATAACAAAGAGCGACACTGGCTTCAAATACTTGGTTTAGCTTTATAACTGCAACCACTATTAGCCTCAGGTGTTCTCCATCACGCTCGTCTTTGATATTCAAACTAACCTTAACTGGGGGCACAGGCCTGCTTTATTCTCAGTCTCACTGACACAAAAACACAACTGAGGTATATGCTTTGGTTTTTTGTCTCCACACACACATATTTTCTCCCTTGCCTATTGCCATCCCTCTGTTCTATGCAAAGGTCTGTGCTTCTCTTCCAGTCCAAGTCTTTATTAGGAGCCTCCTACAGCGTCAAACACACCATGCAAATCTGTGACTGCTGCAGCGCCTTTGGTCCCAGCAACTACCCCGAACCCCAATAAATGCCACATCATAAATAAACATCAAGCCACTTAGTACCTTCAGCGAACACAGAAAGTAATATAGGGCTTGAAAAATCTTTTGAATCTACTAAAGGTACAGTGCATGTATACAAATGTGTTGTTATCTAAATAACTACATACATTAGGTTAGCTCACAGTTCCAGACACAGTAATGTGACACAGTAACAGAACAACAGCCACATTAAAGCCCAATCAACACTAAATCAAAACAGAATGACATCAACCACTGGAATTCATCACACTAAAGAGATCAGTCAATATGCTAGAGCCACTTAGTGTCAGACTGTAATGCAGCAAAGGAAATTAAATCAAAGCTGTGATGACAAAACCTCAACAGTATGCTTTGTGGAAATATTAACTCTCCATATATATATATGTATATATATATCTGTTCCTAATTGATTATGGTTTTTCACCAAAGGGTCATGTTGACCATGCAAGAGAAAGAAACCAAAACTTTTTCGCCCTTTTCCTACTTACCTACTTTTACCACCAATGTCAAATTACAGTCAGTACTCTCCAGGATTGGGTTCAACTTTTCATAAAACCATTAATAAGTTTAATGGTGAAGTTCTTCTTAAATTCTGTGAAACTTATTTAAAAGGTGAATTATGAAAATGTTCTTTCTCCATTAAAACTTAAGAAGACTTGGCAAATAAAGACTAAGACTAAGAATATTAGAAATGGGCTGCTTATGAAGATCTGAAGCACATGCAATCAAAGAAAATCAAAAGAAATTAGTTATGTGAACAGGAAGTCACTCTAGCATGACAAGCTGTAACATAACTTTAAAAAGATGTTCCTTTATCAGGCAAAAAGATGTATCAAAGTTAACAGTCAATCATTTGTAAAAGTAGGTATGAATCTAGCTGACATCATTTAGTAATTTAGTCCAGTGGTTCGCAACCTGGGTGTCCCCTGGGGGACCCCTTCTATGGGTTGCCAAAGCTTATATAATATATATATATAATTTAATGACTCATGTATGAATGTATGAACTAGTTTGTGTGGTGCTACTTTTAATATGGTGATCAGTAAATCTTAAACACTTACCTTGAGTGTGACATGTTTGACTTAAACAATAAATGTGTACACGAGTACTGCTTTGCTATAATAATGACAATACACACACGTCTAAAATACTATTACTACTTGCATGATAATATAGTACATATGGACATAACTCACTTTAATAATAAGTGTTTTTTACTGCAGGCTGTAGTAATGTGAGGTTCAGCTTTAATTAAATAGTGAATAATATAACATTATTAATCATACTTTGATAATATATGGGTCCAGCAAAACTGATAACTATCGTTATAATTAGGATGCTTCGGGTCTCAAAACACACACCAGCTTCAACATTTCCACTAATTAATTATCAATGAATATTTCATAAATAGAAGAAGTATGAGAGTAAAACACACACTCTGAACTCTCATCTCATCAATCAAAACTAAAGTTCACATGAACCAATCTGCAAGCTGCACCTGATCACACTGATTTTAATTGGCTGAAATGAGGATAACCTTTACTCTAATTGGCTGTGGGAAATATGGCAAAAATGTGTGCGTGTGTGCATTAATGCAGGTGACTTGTTTTAATGCGAGGATTAAGTGTATGTGCATCCATCTTTATTCATGCCTAAATACATACTGTATGTGCACACATGTCCCCCGGCACTGTACCGTGACAGGTTGTGGAGGTTCAAGGTGAGGTCATTCACAGCATTTGTCAGTGGGTGTGTGTGTATGCATTTCTGTGGGTGTGTGTGTCATGTGTGTATTGGGGACCATGGACATTACTGTCTACAGGGAGATCCCTCAGTGAGACAGTGACATTTAGTTTCCAGGTCACTATGGCAGTTCTGAGGCTCGGCGGAATAAGGTGCAACCACCATGCTGCCATGGTGATGCAGCCTCAGCAGAGAGGGGATACTGAGCTGGAGGTACGGTAAAGTATCTTCTCTGTGGTCCATAATTCACTGGGTCACAGAAGTGTTTGCTATATTCTTATATTTTCTCCAAAGGGCTTGACTTGTAGGTTGACCACAATAGCAAAAGAATCTAATTTCACTGCCAGATACCATCACTGTTTGTATGAAATATTAAAGCATAAACTGATGTCCTCAAGCAAGTGACTTAAAAACACAACAAAAAAAGCTAGTGGTGAAAGTGTCAAATAAAATCTGATGGATTGTTAAAGGAATACTTTAACAATTTGGGAAATAATGTACACTCATTTACCTTTTTGAGATATAGATGAGAAGATTGATACATCTCATGTCTGTATGGTAAATATGAAGGTACTGAGAGCGGCCACTTAGCTTAGCTAAGCACAAAGACTGGAAAGATGGGGAAACAGCTAGCCTGGCCCTGTCCAAAGGTAACAAAATACTCCAACCAGCTCCTCTAAAGCTCCCTAATTAATTAGTTATATAGTTTTTTATAATGCGTCCAAAAACTGAAGTGTAAAACTGCCATGCTATGTTCTTGCGGGGGGTTATGTGTGGGACTATTTATTGGCCCGGCGCAACTTCCTGGAGTCTTGCATATTTCCCAAAATGTCAAACTATTCTTTTAAAACCATTAAAAGACTTTTCAGAAAATGCCATATGATTGATTGTAACCTTTCCATTCATACTTTCTACTAGATGTTGCACAATGGGCACTACAGCCCACAAGAGTCCATTAACAGTCATTTTACCTTAAAAATAATCGGAAAACTAAAATATAACTCACCAAAATCTTTCTTTGTCTTTCCATACTCTTTCAAACAATCACCAACTCACTTAAACTCAATTCACTGAGTTAGATGTTCAAATATTTGCAAAAGGGGCTATAATGGCAGCAGCAACACAAGCTAATTATTGGGAACAAAGGCACCCATCAAAGTTCGTCCAATAAAAGCCGACTGTTTTTTGCACAGATAGTTATTCTAAGTGTGACAACATTATGGAAAGGATCCCTACGGAGATAAAGAGAAAGAGAAAAGGCATAATATCGCTATCTCTCGCCACCAGACTCCATAGACAAAAACAATCATTACTATAAATATTATGGAGAGATGGTTAATTTGTGTGTAATGGCTTCCAAATTTGTTTGCATGTCACAGCCAGGTGATTTACAAAGGTAAATGTTTATTGTTAATGGTTCAGTGTGTGGGATGTAGTGACGTCTAGTGGTAAAGTAGCAGATTGCAAACAACTGATAACTCATCCACTCACCCTCCCCTTCTAAGCATGTACCCGCTGAATGATCTGGCTGTAACTGATGAGGATATATTTGGTGGAATAATCCTGACACAGGGAACTACATCCCAGAAAACAGAGACAACAATGATTTTTACATTGGCCCAAAAATGTGTACCTCATTTCTAGTATACTGCCATTGATTGCTGTCATCGATGAGCCAGTTCAGCTGTGGCCGATTTCAGGGGAAAGTGAGGAAAATGACACTTTACTTTGTCCAGTAGTTTAGATTAATGGCACATTACTAGAAGCTGTTTAATAAAGTCTGGCAGTCTGTATGTGTGTGTGTACTGTGTGTGCTCACCTTGCCAATAACAGGGATGTCCACAGATCCCCAGGTATCCGCCCCCCAGTGTACCATCCCCGATGCAAAGTCTGCTGTCACTATTCCTAGCACTGGCACACAAACACAGAAACAGACACAATAAAAAGTAGAAATAACATATGTTGTTATTAGATTCACAACCAAACACCCAAACACAATTTTACAATAGTGTTGCGAAAACCTCATGTGGACTGGACTGCACTGGCATGTTTAGAAAATGATTTCCAACATTTATTAAAAATGATTTATATCAATAACTCTCATAGTTTGAAAGGTGGTTTTAAAGCGGGGAAGCCTCAGTTTCTCTATGAATACGTTATTTCTCACCGATGCCGAGGATGATCTTGTAGATGTGAACAGTGGAGAAGTGCAGGAGAAGGAAGGAGAAGTTGATGATGAAAAGGAAGAGGCACAGAATCACACACACCCACTCCTGGAGCCGCTTTCCTGAGGTAGAACACACAAAGAAACACATTTTACTTTAGTATTATAAAAATACAGATTATAATGTGAGCACTGGTCATTCTTGGGAGGAAGCTGAAGACGAGAGTGGAAACGGTAAGAAGTTGAGGGTGTTGGGCTCGGATGTGTTGTATTAATAACCTGGGTGAGGTCCCTGCAACCACTGGGAGAACAACTCACCCCTTACCGGGGGTCAAAGGACCATTCAACCACAATGACTGTGTGTGTGTGTGTGTGTCCAGGGTGTTAATATGTAATCAGTCAGATGAAGACAAGTGTAGTCCAGGCTGCGGGGTCACGACCTCTCAAATGTGAAACACCAACGCTGACGCAGCACCAAACCCACATGGACACACACACAGGCTGTTTCAGGTGGGAGGTAGGTCTCTGCAGGGACAGGGCCAAACTCATAGGTCAGCAGCATTAACTAAAGGACAGAGGGAGAGGGGCCAACTAAAACTACTCATACTCTAAACTCGCAGATCAGCAATATTATGAGAGAGAGAGAGACAGGAGGGTCAATTCAAAACCCTTCAGCCGCGCAGCCCTCAAGATTAGACACACTGAATTATTGAAAACACACATATCACTCATCCGTAACTCATCTAATAGCAGAGCACCACCTCCTACTGCTGGCTCTTCTATTACTGTCACGATGTCTTCCATGAGTTTACATTTCTTTCCTTGCTTGCTTCGTTTCTTTGTTCTGACGTGTCTGACCTGCCAGCCTAAGCAGGAAATTTGACCGCCGAGAATCTCACACCAGAAATAGACATAAACTATAAAAACGTACAAATATAAACTACCTCTGATCTGTTTTTAAGTCACTTTCTTTTGTTCTTTGTCTCCCACCCCGCTCCTCTCTGTCACTCCTCCTAACCCTTCTTTCTTTTCCAGTCTAATGTGCTTTTAAAACTTTAATGTGTTCAGATCCTAATGTATCACACAGCATTAGCAGCCTATAAGATATTCATGACAGTTTTTTTTAATAAAGCACACAGGCCTGTGAGTGTGTGCGCCTATAGACCTGTGTGACTATGAATATGCTATCAGCCTCTCATAAGGTATGGACTGAAGTGGTCATGGGAGATTTAAAATATGTGATTATGGATATTTTACGAATCATCAAATGTGACCCTTCACCTTCTAAAAATAGATGGTATCAAAGTTGTGCAGAGACAGTTGGCTAATTCAAGTGTAGGTGGAAGTTCAGCTGCTAAACGAGTTTGACTGCTACGAGTACAATTTGCAAAACTATTGTTTCAACTCTTTATTGTAATTAGACAAGGCAAATGATCAGGTATTCTTCTTTAAGACTTAGTTTGGGTGCTTTGATGTCCGGTTAGCTTAGCATAAAGACTGGAAACAGTTGAAAACAGCTAGCCAGCTCTGAAACAATAAGAGAGAGAGAACAAAATCCACCTAACAGCACCAATACAGATCATCATTAAAGCCAAAAACAGAAATTTGTAATAAAAATGTAATAAGACATGGCAAGAGACACTAGGCATTTTTCCATAGTTGTTATAGTTATAGCTTCAGTTTCACTTTTACAAAAGAAAGAAAATATGCATTGTTTTGCACAGTTTATACACTACCTGAGAAATAGAAAGAGATGATTTCATTTGGTGAAGAAAATATAAGAGAAAATATATTTAGTAGATGTTTGTCTGAGAAATAAAGTTACCTTTTTCAGCCATAATTTGTTTAAAAAGAAGAAAGAATGAACCCAGTTTCATGAACTGTATCGAATCGTGATTTGAGTGTATCGTTACATCCCTACTATTTGGTAAATTATCAAGTATTTTTGTTTAACACTTAGTTTGGGTGCTGTGATGCCTTTCACCAGTTAGCTTAGCTTAGCAAAAGACATATAGCTTATTTCTTGGCTGGGAGCAGTGTTTAGTTAGTGTCTTGTTTGTTTGTTTGTTTCATTAAACAAAATCAATCAGAGCCATTCTAGTTTCCAGTCTTTATGCTAAGCTAACTGGCAGCTGGCGGTAATTTCATACCCAACTGACAGACATGTGATTGATGTCTTCTCCGCTAATTCTCGACAAAAAAGAAAATAAGCATTTTTTCCCAAATGATATTAAACTCAACTCTAACACAGACTGTATATGAAAGCTATATATAGCCCATGTGTCATCAGCAGTCATCTGTTTCACAGACAGCGAGATGAGAACATCTGTCAATAATGCAGAGAATGAACCTTGTGTGCCTGAGCAGATAAAGCTACAGATTAAACCAGATAAAATGTCCAGCGTACACCATAAAAATGTCAGAAATGACCTTGATTCAGAGAAACTCAAATGAGACAAAAATATTTTGTCCGGACAGTTCATCAACAGTTCTATCAGCCAAGTTACTAATCATTTCATGGCTAAATAACCAGTATTGACCAGTATGAAGCCTATTTGAAGCATTCCAGTGATGGTACTGCTTGGATTAAAAATCATTTTCTTTGTACAGTGACATAATTCAAAGGTCATCTACAGCATGCATGACACAGTCAATTAGACATTTGCAGGATTAAAAGAAAGTTGGTGTGATCTAAAAATGGAAGGATTGTTCCTCTGCGACTGTGGCACAGTGAAGTAGCTGGTTGCTGAAAACAAAAGCCACAGAAAAGTTATCAGTTCCTGGAAAACAACCTGCTCACCCTGAGCTGCGCAAACTGAAACAGGAGAACTACATTCTCATAGAAACCCGGCGTTACAGATGTTACGTGGCCGCTAGCTTAAGGCCCCATTCAGAGAAATGCAAGCAATGCTGAGAACACACAGAGCGTGGCAAAAGAGGGAGAGAGGAGACACGATGCACAGCAATAAAATACAAAAGGTTCTTTTTTGTCCACAACAAAAAAACATATCTGCACAGCAATGCTCCTCCACCTGTGGAAACACCACGAGTTTATCCTGAGCAACTCTGTGTCTCTGCAGTCAGATCTGGCCTGAAGCAGTCCCACTGAATTATGATGCGTTTACTGTACAGAGTGAATTACACTACTGTGTGTTCTGTACATGTAGCACAGGTCCAGTGAAACTTCATGAGTTTACATCACCAGGTAATGTGTTTCCATCCACACAGCGTCAGTCCATGCTGAGGTTAAGTAGAGCGCAGTTAGCTCTGTTGTCTCCGAGCTTCATGTGACACCATTTTCTCCACTCTGCCCCAAGGTGTACACACACTAACACACACACACACACCTCAAGGGATCAGTACACCAAAATTCACTCTCTCACTGCGTCAGCACCCACGCACACACTCAACATCAACATCCATGTGAGCACTCACACAGACAGAATGATGCTCCAACTGATGGATTTCCTAACACATTCTCACATCTCTCTCTATTACACACACACACATCTTCTGACACATACACAAATTCAGACACTCCATCTCCGTCACATACACACACACAAACACACACACACACACGGTGCAGGGCCGTGGAGCAGTGGGGCGGCTGTCAGGTGATGTGCGTCAGTCCTTGGATCCTCCGGCTCCCTGGTGAGGGGAAGGAAACTAGGACAGGCCTCCGCAGAGCGCACACACACTCTCAAACACACACA